GGTTTTCAATGTGGCATTGACTCGGACTGATCGATACGGCAAGTCGGGATGGCGGCGGGATCCTTGTGCGCGATGAACGGTGCTGGACGGTCGGGTCGGGACGATCGAGGGTACGATGGGTTGCCGCGCAATCGTCGAGTGAGCTCAGGGCACGATCCGGGACATCAGACCTGTACGATGGGCCAATCGATCGCGGCACAGTAGATGGCGTGTCGTCGAGTGCGGATGTGCGGGCCCTATGAGGGATTATCGCGTGGCAGGAATTCGATGGACAGAGTCTGCTGCAGGAACGAGGACAGTCGCGAGGAAGCGAAGCTTCATTTGCGAGAGCGGAAGGTGGGAGAGCCGTGGGCCGCAGCGCGTCGTGGCCGCGTCCGTCGTCGTCGGCGCGTCGTCCTCTCCTCCTCGCCATCGCCCACGCCGTCCAGCCGCCCGTCCGCGCCGCCGCCCCCGATGGCCCGCCGCCCGTCGTCGCCGTCGCCCTCGGCCAGCGCGTCGCCCCAGAACGGGTCCTCCAAGCTCGCAAAGTTCCTCACGCGCGACCGCTCGCGCTCGCTGCTCGACCCGCCCTCGGCGTCGCCCACGACGTCCTCCCGCCTCTCGTCCCGCTCCGAGCCTGCGCCGTCCACCGCCGCGTCGCCCCGCCGCTCCTTCATCCGCGCGCCGTCCCGCTTCCGCCCTTCAAAGACGCCCGACACCGACCCCGACACCGGCGCCCTCGACGACGACGACCCGCCCGTCATCGTCGAGCCCGTCTCCCCCGCCTCCGCACGCGCCGCCCGCCCGCACTCCTCAACGTCTCCGCCGCCTCCTCCTCCTCCCGTCGCCATCCAGCTGACGCCGCCTCCGCCCTCTAGCGATCTGCCCGCCCGCCTCTCCGGCTGGCTCACCCACGCCTTTTCCAACGCCTCGCACACCGACCTCGGCCTCCCCGCCCTCCTCGCCACCGCATCGCACCACGCTTCACCCCGCACAACCAGCAAAGCAACCGCCCTCCTCAAATCCAGCCGCGCGAACATCGACCGCGCAGTCCGCTACATCCTCGACTCCGACGCGAATTTCGACCGCTGCGACGACGACATCTGGCTCATGGGCGTCCGCCATCCCGCGCACGCTCCCCCCGAGCACCGCAGGACCAGCGCAGACAGCTCGCCCGGCCCAAGTCCCTCCGACGCCCGCCCCCGCATCTCCCTCTCGCAATCCCAGCCCCCATCCTCCTCCTCCTCCGCAACATCCACCCTCCGCCCCCGCCCCGACACATGGCCCCCCTCCTTCCACGCCGACTTCACATCCCGCATCTGGCTCACCTACCGCTCGCACTTCACCCCCATCCGCGACTCGTCGCTCCAGGCCCTCGAAGCCGGCGCCGCACCGACCATGGACGTCGGGCTCGCGACGAGTCCGAAGCGATGGCCGTGGATGGGAGGCGAGAAGGGATGGACGAGCGATGCGGGCTGGGGATGCATGCTTAGGACGGGCCAAAGCATGCTCGCGACCGCCCTCGTCCATCTCCACCTCGGCCGCGGTGCGCCCTCTTCCCCCCACCTAATCCTCATCCCATCTCATCTCCACAATATAACAGACTTCCGCCGGCCCCTCCACCCGGCCTTCACACCCCCCTACGCAACCTACGTCCAGATCCTCACCTGGTTCTTCGACTCGCCGGACCCCCTTTCCCCTTTTTCGGTTCATCGCATGGCGTTGGCCGGGAAAGACCTCGGCAAGGACGTCGGACAGTGGTTCGGCCCTTCGACGGCCGCCGGCGCACTCAAGTGCACTCTCCCTTCTCGACTCACTCTTGACCTGCCCCTGCTGACGCGCCCCACAGAACCCTCACACAAGCCTTCCCCCCCGCCCGCCTAGGCGTCTCCGTCGCGCGCGACGCTCAGATATTCGAGTCGGACGTCTTTGCCGCGTCCCGGTCGCCCGAGCCTGGGCGCGGGTTGTCACAGCCGTCGCTTGCGCCGTCGGCGTCGTCGTATGGCCCCTCGGCGTCGTCGTATGGGCCTGTGCCGGAGCCGCGGACGTCTGCGTCCGGATATCCTTATACTTCGCCCTACTCATCTCCGCCCGCCCACCCCTCCGCCACACCCGCCTCCCCAACCCACTCACCCTCACAACACCGCCAAGAAAGAGACAAAGACAGACGCCGCGCTGGCTGGGGCGACCGTGCCGTGCTCGTGCTCATCGGCATCCGCCTCGGCCTCGACGGCGTCAATCCGATTTATTACGAGACGATCAAGGTTCGTGCCATCTTCAACTCTCATCTTCGTGCTCTCCTTTTCGTCTTACTCCTCTTCGTCGTGCTCTCCCCACGCCCCCCTTCACGCCCTCTTCTAACCCCCCCCCCTCCAACAGACCCTCTTCACCTTCCCCCAATCAGTCGGCATCGCAGGCGGCCGCCCGAGCTCCTCCTACTACTTCGTCGGCCAGCAGGCTGACGCCCTCTTCTATCTCGATCCACATCATACGCGGCCGGCCGTTCCGCTTAGGATGCCGGCGGATGGTGCGGAGGCCATGTCGATGCGTCGCGATGGCGAGGCGATGTCAATGCGCCGCGATGGCGAGGCGATGTCGATGCGTCGCGATGGCGAGGCGATGTCGCTGCGTCGCGACGGCGAGGCGATGTCGCTGCGTCGCGACGGCGAATCGATGTCGCTGCGCCGCGACGGCGAATCGATGCGACACACGCTGCGCGATAGCGATCTGGCGCGGCACGCGCGCTCGCCGACGAGTCCGCCCGCGTACCCCGCGCGCGCGCAAGACGACGTTTCGCCGCCGCCGAGCATGCGCTCGTATATCTCCCCGCCGCATACCTCGCCGCCGCCGAGCACGCGCCCACAAATCTCCTCGCCGCCGAGCACGCGCCCACAAATCTCCTCGCCGCCACTCGCGCGCGCGCACGTCTCCTCGCCGCCGCCGCCCGGTCGCCGCACCTCGCGCGAGCCCCCACCGCCGCGCGTGGGCAGCCCGCCGCCGCGCGCGAGCCCGCTCGCGCAGCAGATCAGCACGTCCAGCAGCTCGTCCACCTCGGGATCCTCAACTGGTCACGCGCACGCGCGCTGGCACACGACGGCGGCGGTCGAAGACGAGCCGCACTCGTCCGCGAGCTTGAACGCCGCCTTCGCAGGCGGCGTCAGCGCCGCCGGTCTCACGCCGCTTCAGGAGCACCTCGTCACGGCTTACACGCCGCAGGAGCTCAGGACGTTCCACTGCGAGCGTGTGCGCAAGCTGCCGCTGTCTGGGCTCGACCCGAGCATGTTGATCGGGTTCCTGGTCCGGGACGAGGACGACTGGAAGGATCTGCGAAGGAGGATCGCGGACGTGCGTTCCCTTGTTTACGCTTCGCTTCGGGATGCGGCCGCTGACGGTCGTGTGCAGCTCGGGCGCGACCACAAGGCGATATTCAGCGTCCAAGACGAGCCGCCGTCCTGGCCGTCGGACTCGGACTCGTACATGGGCCTCGAGTCGCTCTCGGAGCCGGACCCGGATCCAGATGCGCTCGACGCGGACGCGGACGCGGACGCCGTATCGGACGACAGCGACAGCGGTGACTTTTTTGACGCGAGCGAGGGCCGGCCGCAGCTGGGCGACGAGGACGCCGCGCCGCGGAACGGCGAGGCCGAGCCGGAGACGCCCGGCCCTGGGAGCAGCGGCTTCTCGTTTGCGGAGATGGATCTCGACGAGGTGCAGGCGCGGGACGGGGAGCAGGACAAGGAGGACGAGGACGAGGACGACGGAGAGTGGGTCGCGCCGCCGCTGCCGGCGAAGGATGCGCGCGGAGAGACGGGGACGGCGCGCAGGAAGAAGGCCGTGCTGGCGCCGGCGCCCGTGCCGTTCCCGAGCTCGCAGCCCGAGAGCGAGGGCGCGCCGCGTGTGCCGCTGATGAGTAACCAGCGCGCGAGGGACGGCGGGAGGACGCAGAGCGGGGGTGTGAAGGGCGTGCTGGCGGACGCGTAGATGCGGCGGGATGAGAGGTGCGTGCTGTGCGGCGGTCGAGAGGGCGGGAGGGTTGCGCTGCTGACGAGAGGACAGGACGACGAGGCTGTCGCGAGGACAGACCGACGACGGTGGTGTGAGGGGACGGACGGGGAACGCGCCGGGGACACGTCTTTGTGTATGCTTTCTGCTCAGCTTTGATTCCGATGCTTCCGTACGACAGACAGACGCATGCTGTACCACCACCTACCTCCCCATGTTCGTGACCCCCTCAGTCCCGGCCCATGGCACCTTTTTCTTTCCCTGTTTTCACTTGATTTCTTCCATTGTCTGATCCCCCCCCCTCCCCTTTTACACGCGACTTCCTTCCGACTCGTCTCTCTTTCTGCGCGCCGGTTGTACATATCGTGGGCGGCCAGCTGGACTAGAATGCAGGATACCCGTGGCCGCCTCGTGCGCGCGATTCTGAGTCGTTCACTAGCTCGGGTTAGTGTGTGTGTCGGAGACGAGTTGGAGAGGCGGAAGGGCAAGGGAGGGGGGCGGCAGAATTAATGGAAGGGGGCAAACGCTGTGTGTGAGTCTGAGGCTGAAGCGCGGTGCAAGCGTCGACGGGTCTAGCTCGAGCCGCTGGAACAGGTGGATCTCGATACCTGCATGCTATCGCGCTGGAGCGACAAGCTAAGCCCCGTTTCTCGCGCCTTCAATGGCCAGGTCAGCTGCGTCCTCGACGATTTGCTGTACGACTTTCTCGACAGTGGTGCCTCCGGGACGTGCGTGGCCGCCGTAACGTCTGAGAATGGTACAGATATACTTCATGCGAGAGGTTCGGCAAGCCCGCCTAGCTCAATCGGATAGAGCGTCAGACTCTTAAGGCGGGTTCGTCCCCTCGGATGATCTGAAGGCTGCGAGTTCGACCCTCGCGGTGGGCTAGTTAATCTTTTTACCGCTTCGTTAGAAGGGCTGCAGCAGGATAGCTCGTGCGATGACCATTCCCTCTTTCCTAGCCGCCGGATGGAGGTTTTCTTATTATTAACATGTGTTCTTTTCTTGATATTTGTACTGCCCGCCTAGCTCAATCGGATAGAGCGTCAGACTTTTACGTTGCCTTCTCGGCGCTGTGATCTGAAGGCTGCCGGTTCGACCCCGGCGGTGGGCGATAGTGGATTTTCGTGGACTTTTTCTACAACGACGAGAGTCCAACAAGTGTGGCTTGCTGACGGTTCGTCGCGCTGCACGACGGCTCCGCTGTGCAAACGTTTGACTACAAGTCAGTACCTCGGCCATCTCGAGTCCATCGAAGCGAACTCGTGAGCTTGCGCCAGCTGTGTTGCGAGACCCTTTCCCCAACTCTGCCCGATCTTACCCTTCCATCCGTATGTAGAGCCGACAGGTATGCACAGGATATTCGTAGACTCTAATGCATGGCATTCAGTGATCAGTTCCGCTCGGTTCATCGGTGACGACTCGGCATCATCTCTCACTTGAGGCCTCAAAATTTGCCTCCGGAGCAAGACAGCGGCGCGAGGTGCACAGTCCGGACTACGTGGAATCACGCATTTCCCTGCCACGAAGTGGGTTCCGCGGGTCCACTATTATCTGCGATTCTCGCCTTCGACGGTCGGCGGAAGAAAAATTTGTTATGCATTCTAGCCCACCGCGAGGGTCGAACTCGCAGCCTTCAGATCGCCTGCAGAACAGCCGGGATTATAAGAGTCTGACGCTCTATCCGATTGAGCTAGGCGGGCCGTGAGGAGATCTGCTTATGAGTCATCTTAGAAAGCAAATAGGTCTGGAGGCGGAGAACGGAGCGGATCGTAAAATATCTTCTGTCTTACACCTCGATCACGTCTTCACCGGCGCTGCGTGGAGAGGTCTCTCATCTGCGGCTTTTGTTAAATCTGCCACCGAGTGCTTCAATCTTCCTGGTCTGCGCAACTTCCGTATCGCCTGCCTCAACTTCATTGATGGGTGGACGGTCAAAGCTATGTTAAGTCCACGACAGCTAGAACACCGCATACATAACCCACTGTCTACTAAGTCGAATGAAGATTCTCAAGGGTGTGAGATTGAGCGAGGATTCATCACCTGAGTCTATTTCAGGGACAGTTAGAGACGGATGCGCTACAGTTAACGACGTATCGGCCTGACAAGAAGCGGGGTGTTATCCTTCGGATCTATTGTTTCCAGCTGATTAGCGAAGAATGCGCACAGATCTGAGCACAACTTACTCATGGATATAGCTGCACTCGTCTCGATGGCCTGCCCCTCATACGCAGGACTGAATTCGAAATTCGCGACCATTGCGCTGCATACGCAACTATAGGTCGGGCTCGGGTAGAAGGGGAACAACAATACGCACGCAATAACTGCCTTCATCTCTGATATCGCCATCGTTTTCCCGATGCAGCCATGAGGACCAGCCAGGAAGCCGAGGAAGCTGAACGTTGCGTCATACTTCGGGTTTGACGTAGGGTCTAACCAGCGCTCCGGCTTGAAGTCCTCTGCATCGGGCCCCCACGTTTCCTTCCATGTATTGATCGAACGGAGCTGCAGGCCTACGTCAAGCGGTAAACAAAAACAGAACACACAAGTATACGCACCGGGACATAAATCAGTGTACCCTTTGGGACGAACGTTCCATCGATGTAGTCATCCACCATAGCTTGACGGAGGGTCAGAGGAATAGGTGGAAGCAAGCGCAGACTCTCCATCCTGACAAACCGTCAATGTCCAGCAGAGTATCGCAAAGCACGTGAACAAAGCGCACACGACACAGTTTAGCCACCTGAGGTCTTTGAATTCTTTGTAATCTGGAGATGCGCTTCCGTCGAACACATGCGCAACTTCTTCGCGAAGCTGCTGTTGAACAACCGGGTGTGATGCAAGGAGCCAGAGTGTCTACGGGCGCACGTCAGCTAGAGGGACGGACATTCTTTGCCCAAACGTACCCAGCTCAAACCAGAAGCGGTCGTCTCTTGGCCGGCGCCCAGGAACGTCATCTGCGCCGAGAAGCGTAAACGGTCGAAAAGCTGCCCTAAGCGTGGCTACGCACGACTTGTTCTACAAGTTCATTATCCGTCAACCGCTGACCGTCCCTCATCTCGGCGTTACGAGCACGCAGGAGCTGGCTCATTATGTCCTTCCTATTCGCGAAGTCCTCGGGATGAAGTTCACTCTCTGCAATCTTATCCTGTAAGATCCTCCGTGAAACTTGGCGCAAACGCCATGCTGCTTTCACGAGAGTCGACGCTGGAGCTGGAATGCATAGATCAACCGCCTGTACAGCCGTAAGGGAGTATCAGCATACTGGTCGATGGGAAAATGCTGAAGATCGAGTGGAACTTGGCGCCCCATTCAGATCTCAGAAACGCAGGCGCTCCGGGAACCATCTCCAATGCTAACACTTTCGAGATATTCGACCCTAAGCAAGCGACGTTAGGCCGGATGATACAGTTATGCTGGGCCGACGGACCCGACTGTAAGGTTGCCATATCGCGATATGCAGCCATAAGGTCAGAATGCGAGGTGCTCTGAGAGTCCGTAGGATATCCGAATGCTGTTTCACAAATAATATGAAGGGTCAATCGGCCCACTATGACTGATCAGATACACGAACGGAGGGAGAGAGCTGAAGACGCTCACTCAGCTCACACATATGAAGAACCTTTCCGTCAGATTCTCCCTCAAGCTCTTTTCGCATGTTATGTACGATCCTATTTCGGCCCTGTCAGCGATAAGTTAAACACAATGCAGCGGAACGTATCGCACGATTCGATGTACTGAAAGTAGATCTCAACTTCTAGACAAATATTAGGATCTCGGCAGAGGGAAGTAAACGCGATTGCATACGAGCGTTGATATTCGAAATAGAAAATGCAGGGTTGAGCAGCTTGCGCAACTGATGATGCTCACTCCGAATGGTGGTCAAGAGTCCATACCCAGCGGCCAGGCCCAAGAAGTCACGGAGATACATCGGCTGCGTATGGTGGAGTTCCGGGAACAGGAGCGAATTGTCCACAAGGACGTACCCGCGGATAGTTATCGCAATCTGTAACCAGGATCTTCTTCAAAGCTTCTGGGTGGAAGAAGAACAGTGCTTCTGTGCCAAACGGGCCGATCATTCGGACAACGGGACCATACTTGTGGGCCCAGACACTCGACATAGCACCGGGCTCTGAGACCATCATTTCCAAGAAGTGGCCTAACGGGCCTCGTCGCAAGGGAGGCCCAGGTACCTTGCGAAGCGGAGAGACATACACGGGACGAATATACAAGGTGTATAGGGCTGAGATGATGATAACGGTGAGCGTAGATGCTAGAGTATGCAATCCTTCAGCATTGCAGTAGGTCTCGAAGACGTTTTTGCGTACCGACGGCAATGGATATCATTGATGTCGCCTCCCTGCCACTCTCTGAGCCCAAGCTGGAAAAAGCCAGTAGCTCCCAACCTCCGTCATTGTGTGTCATCTTCGGGGATGGCCACAGCTTTAGAAACGACTACAAGGCTTAAATGCATGCAGGTCGTTGTCTGGGATCCTCATGCCTTAAGCCGCTCGAATGCTCGTCGTTATGCCTGAGGTTCGTCGGGCGAGGTCATGATCGATGAACGGCGCAGATATCTGCAAAATCGCACGAACAGACGGGATAATTCGGTTGCAATTTCAGACGTTTGAAATGGTCGACAAGACATGGGGCCGTGTCATGGTGTGCGAGATAGGGAACAAGCCGTGCGGAGCTGACATGGCGGCAGCGCTCGCGCTCGGCGTTTGCCGACACCGACGCGGCGACAAGTACTGTCGTGTCTATGACGCTCGGTGCCGGTCCTCTGGATCTGTTTGCTAATCTGTCATGGTCGCACGGGTGGGCCGCCGAACATTAGTACACTCTGCACGCCTTTCTGTACATATATGCCACCATTCGTGCACACGTTATGTCTCCATACCGCCTTACCACCATTCAAGGCGTATAGAACGATTCCGGTATGAGATGCTCTATGGGATGCTGAATGGCAAATCACACGGGGGAGAAGGAAGAGACGGAAAAGAAAGTAGGGCATGCCGTAGCTAAGATGCCTGTTCTCACAAGATTTCTGTTTTTATGCATACTAGGAGAGACGAGCAGACGCGCAAGATAACATCTACCAAATACTTTCCTGGTCGAAATTGCGGAGGAAAACAATCACTGGCAGCCAGACCGCTCCTCGCCAAACCATGATCCACGACTCCAAAGCCACAGGCTACCTGCACGGATATCATCCAGAGCCAGCCCCAGAAACCCCCAACCTTCCTCCCAGTCACCTTCGTAAACGCCCCCTCGAGGAGGATCCCTGCGGCGATCGCCATGAACATAATCAAGCATGGAATAGTCGTCGAGCGTCCTGCCATGGACCAGATGGCCCAATCATGCAAGACTGCTGATACAAGGAATGCGCCGACGATCGCGCCAACGTCGCCACCCATTCTGCGTCCTGGACGTGCTCCAAGCTGCACGAACATCCGCCGCGGGACACGGTGCCACCGGCGACCCCAGAAGTCCGCGAGGGAGCCGGCGAGAAACGGCCAATGGAAGATCGGCGGCCACTGCCATGCCTCTTGCCCGAGGACAACACGCCCAAACACGGCGACAATATTGTACGTTCCGTCGAGGAGGAACATGATGATAGGGAGCGCAGACAAGCAGGACGCGATGGCACGTAGGATGCGGGCGACGGGGGGAGAGCTCGGGTCCATGAGCGGATAGCCAGACGGTGTATTGAGGGAAGGGTGGTGTAGCTGCACGAGATAGAGGAGTACGTCTAGGCAGACGGCGTCAAAAATGACAGTGCTCGCTTGACGTAAGACGGTATGGCCCGAAGGTGGGGGAGGGAAAGGCTTGCGGGACCACGACCATCCGACGCCCGTGTGGTTCCAGCAAAGCTCAAACGCATCGATGAACAAGAATTCGGGCGTGACAGGATGTTCCTGAAAAGGAGCATCGTTCTCCACCGGCGGGAAGAATCTGCGATGACAACCCGGCTCGAACGCCCATTCGATGCAACGGCCCGCGAATAGGATGAGAACAATCTGTCACCCACGTCTGATTCGTGGCTTTAGCACGTTCGATAAGAGACGCACTACTGTGAAGAAGTTGATGTATCCGAGCCGATCCGACCGATAGCCGTAGTATTTGAGCAAGTTACCAGCAGTTGCGGCATAGTCAAAGTATGTTATGGCGTAGTAGCTTTGTCGGAGGGAAATGGGTAACATGGCAAGGCGGAGTAGCTTCGTCTTCGGGAGCATGACGAGCAATGCATGGGCGTAAACGCATGCGAAGAAGGGCACAACCTCGAGACCGTTGACGAGGGGTTTCCTCACAGAGGATACGGGAGGAAACAAAAGACTCATCACGCCAAGCATGGCTGCGGATTGACGAGAGGGGTGGTCCTGCGAGGCCTGAAATTTATGCGTTATCCTCTTCGCTGCATACCAGGGCGTTCGTTGATCTACGTCATCTAACCTAACGAGGACAGAAAAGATATTTGCGCGTCCATTACATACGCAGCAGTCGTACCGTTATTCAGCAAGTGACATAGTAGACGTACGCAAAATTCAAATATCAGCCTCGATCGTCATGGCAGATCAAAATGAGGTTACGGTGCTTGTGCTACTACTAGCGCTAAAAGGGCCTCGGAGACGTGACCTTGTGTTTGTATCTATTTGGCTTCTCCTCGAAGCGTTGATCCTATATCTGCTTTACACACTAGACA